ATTCATCTCTTCTCTAAATGGGCTTGGCCTTGACTTGCACAGATCATCTGCAGTTGAGTGGACACAGGTTCAGTGACACAAACGGATCAAAGGGGCTGTCGCTGGGCCCAGTCAATCAACTGCAGAATGTCTTATGGCTGCAGGCTAAGAGGAGGAAACAATTCAAAGACCAAACAAAGGTTAATCTAGTAACTGCCGCAAGGCCCAGGTAATTTCCATAAGTACGTGCCAGTGGAAACAGCAACCACTTCAATAGTTTGGCCTGGCACCAATATGAGGAAGAGCTTGGTAAACCCAACACGGACTCCCTTTCATTGCCCTGAGATCCATCAAGCAGCTGAATGGAGGTCGGTGCTGGGGGCTGGGGGGCACCCACACAGACCAGTGAGCAGCTGCCCCTTCTGGAATCTCACAGACTTCTAAAGCCGAGGGGTCCCTGGGTGCCAGCAGTGCTGCAAGTGGACAGCCAGCCTCTGCCCAGACATGTCTGGAGATGACGAGCTCGCCCCTTCCAGAGGATTCCCAGAAAGGGAACGGGAGAAGCTCTTGGGCATCATTCTCGTGACTCTCCACATCCTGGCAGAAACTTTATTCCTCGAGCACTTTGTTCTTTCTGCCTCTGTAGAATTAGACTCAGCCATCAACAGCAGCTGCTCACATCCTTTGTTCCCAAGCACGTCGTTCCCACCATATGAGTGTGCGGGGGACTGTGCATGGGGTGCAGGTATGATTGGAATGTCAGGGTTTCCCTGCCACCGCTGGTTTTGTTTTTTCCTCTATATCCAGCCAATGAGCACCTCTTGGGCATGTACAGATCCCCAGAGAGAAAGAAAGGCTAATGTCTCTTCTTCAGGAGGCTGTAAGTCTTTGAGCAATGAGGCTATCCACACTCGACTCCAAGAAACCGATGCGCACAGAGGTCCTGCTCGTATAGTGTCAGGATGATCTTACGCAAGCCCCATTTGCCCTAAGTGGAAAATGAACCTTTGTAAACTGCCACCCATGAACCAATGTGTTGGGAGGTGTTCAACCAACTTGGCCATCTGTTGAATTTGAGTTATATCCATGAAGCTCTGTTGTGGAACGATGCTGGTGGTGGGGACAGAGTAGCTGCCGTTGGCTGAGGTTGCCACACGACTAAACAGCTTATTGTAGTGGATGGAGCACCAGTCCGGCGGCGGAATGTCGCTCCTCCCACCCCCAGACCTGTTTTTGGCCACCTAAAAGAACTGCGTGTAACTAGGATCCTTTTTTTTTTTTTTTTTTTTTTTTGCACGCACCAGGAGAACTTGCTATTTAGGGAATCCTGATGATGAATTGTTTTTATAAAGTCAGACCAGAGACTCTTTCTTGTCTTTCTCTCCCCCCACCCATTTTTATTTTCTGAAATTGGTTTTTGCTTAAAATCAGGACATGCTTTTGCACATAAATAACGAGTTTGGTGGTGACCATCTGGCATTGTGATCCAAATGGAATCTGTTCAGTGTAGTCACCTCTTTGCTGGCTGTGTGACCTTGGCCAAGTCACTTCACCCCTTTGTTACCCTCCGTAAAGTGAGGGTAATGCAGGCATCTACTGTACATGTTGTGGGTAATATTCAGACCTCTTTCAAATAAAATGGGCTCCATTTTAAATAAGGTTTCGTCATCACAGGCATCAGGACCACATCTCTCTGCACAGCACGGGAAAGAAACTAGTATGTTAAGAGGCTGAGAGCTACAGAGTCTGAGCTGGTTCCACAGAGGTTTCCAGCTGCTCAGATCCATAGCTGCAGGATTCTGCAGAGTTTGAATAAAAAGTCAGCATGGGGAGAAGTGGAAGGGCATTGAGCTGGTTGATAAAGACACGGCTTGGTAGTGATGTTGCTTTTAAAATTCTTGGCACACATTTGCAACTCTTAAATAAAAAACAAGTTGCTCAGTTGTCATAATGGGGATTTTGACTAAAAATGATGATTTAAAGGATTCCTGTGTCAACTCCTAGGACATCGATTGGCTGACTGGTTTGCCTCTTCCTCCTGGCTCTCTCTTTCTGCCTTTCTCTCTCCTTATATGGAATTTCTATCTGTGTTTACCATCCTTTTTTCTAGGTGGGGCTGGTTGGGGAGATGTGGAAGTTCTGGAAGAAGGGGATTAGGAGCAATGGCTTGGGAATCAGGCAGATCCACCTCAGGTCTGCTGCTGTTGAGCCTGAAGTTTTCACCTGCAAAGTCAGGGTAATGACAGTATCCATATCTCATCGGATTGCTGAGAAGACTAAATGAGGCAATGCTCGCGTGGTGTTTAGCCTTGTGTCTGGCACACATTAAGCACATAATAAGTGATGTTTATCATGAGACAAGTGCCTGGTGGGAGCAGGTACTACTCGCAGTTAATTAATGAATCAAACACAGCCCCTGGTCCCTTAGGAAATGAAGCAGGTGATGTTTAATTATCCTGCTTGGAAGAGAACAAGATACTCGCAGGGGGCGGGGACCAGCTTTCCCCATTAGTTAAGAGAAAGGAGGACTAGCCTGGTTTGCTGTAAGAAAACTCTCTATGGTCAAAGTGACATGACCAGCCTGGAGAAACTCAGCAGGGGCCCTTGCCTGGGGCCCCAGCAGGGGAGGCAACAGGCTGGACATTTGGAGCATGTCTGTGTGGTGTGAGCACTCACTCTCCTGCCCAGGGGCAAGTTGCTCACCCATCTATGCTCAGCCCATCTGTAAAAGGGAAATAGACTCCCAGCACTTTACTCTTCTGTCTGTCCTCAGCATTCTCATGTCTAGAATGGGGGTGAAGCAAGGTTATGGTTACTACCATGATGTTTTTTATAGAGAACTTAAAGGTCGATCATAATGCAAGCACACATTTAAGGCCAGGCGTGGTGGCTCATGCCTGTAATCCCAACACTTTGGGAGGCCGAGGCGGGCAGATCACTTGAGGTCAGGAGTTCAAGACCAGCCTGGCCAACGTGGCAAAACCCCGTCTGCACTAAAAATACAAAAAATGCCGGGCGCGGTGGCTCAAGCCTGTAATCCCAGCACTTTGGGAGGCCGAGACGAGCAGATTACGAGGTCAGGAGATCGAGACCATCCTGGCTAACACGGTGAAACCCCGTCTCTACTAAAAAATACAAAAAAAAAAACCAAAACAAAAAACAACTAGCCGGGCGAGGTGGTGGACACCTGTAGTCCCAGCTACTCGGGAGGCTGAGGCAG